TCCAGCTCCCTATTTATGTGACTAGGAAAGCAATGGAGGACAGCCCAAGTCCTTGGCCTACATCCACAGGAGACCCAGATGGAGCTCCTGGCTCCTGGCTTCGGTCTGGCCAGACTCAAGCTCTTGTGGTCAGTTGGGGAGTGAACCAGCAAATAGAAGATTCTCTCTCTCTCTCTTTCTCCTCTCTCTACATAGCTCTGCCTTTAAATAAAATATTTTTTAAAATGGCACTGGTAAATTTGTTTGTAGAAAGAATTTCAAAATCCTTCATTGTAAAAAAATAAATGCAGTATCTGTGAAGCACAAAAAAAGTATGCCTTCATGGGTTTTTAGAGAAAAGAAAAAGCATATCAAATAGGATGTAAATCACATGACTAAGTGGCAAAATGTAACACATTTCTGTGAGAAGAAATGGACAAGAAAATGATATGGATGGGTGAGGGAGGAAAAGATGTTATCGGTGGAGCACAGAGGAATTTTTGGACAGTGAAACTATTATGTATGATACTGTAATGGGATATGCCCACTATTATGTATTTGTCATCACCCCTAGAACTTTAAAACAAATGAGTAAAGCTTACTGTCAACTATGGATTTCAGTTGAATAATAATTTATCAGTATTGCTTGCTCTACCATAATACATAGACCACACTGTTGAAGGATATTAAGAATAGGAGAAACTGAGGTGGGAGGGTGTATATAAACTCTATTTTCTTCTCAGCTTTTATAGAAACCTGAAACTTCTGTGAAAATCATATATTAATGAATTTTAAAAAGTGAAGAAAGTGACATAGACCAATTGATACAAAAACAGACTACAAAATAATGGCAGTAGAGAAAAATGAAAATACAATAAAGAATTGCCCATTTTTCCAGCATGTTTTCTGATCACAGGTGTGTCTACAGTGATAGTGTATGCGTGGTAAATGCACTCTGCAACTTCTCCATACTGAAGTACATGTAGTTTCAATGTTCCATGATTTCCCATGTATTCAGGCACAAAAATACATTGTTGTACTCGCCTTGCTTCTTTGGTTGGCTAACTCTTAGCTTTTATCTTAGTTTATGTCATTTCTGCTAAGAAATTTATTAAAATTATTATTAAATAAATTTATTAAAATTGTTACTATTTGAAAGGCAGAGAAAGAGAAAGAATCTTCCATTCATTGGTTCACTACCCAAATGCCTGCAACAGTCAAGGCTGGTCCAGGCAGAAGCCAGTGATCTGAAACTCAATCCAGGTCTCCCAGGTGAGTAACAGGGACTCAAGTACTTTGATGATCACCTGTTGCCTTCCAGGGTACACATTAGCAGGTAGCTAGAATCTAAAGCAAAGCCAGGAAAGCCAGGCACTATAATACAGGATGCTGTAGTATCAAGCAGGGACTTAAGCCGCTGTGTCAACACGTACCCCTTCTCCAGAAAATTTTGCCTTTCTACCTCCTATGTCCACCAACACATAAAGAGGTACCAATTATAGTCCTCCCAGCGCCATTTACTTACCTTACTATATTAGAAACAGCTAGCAATTTTTCCATCATCTGCCACTAAACTATATGTTTCTTGAAAATAGAGACATTGTTGTTCATGGTAGTTTCCTCATGCCCTAAAAAAGTGCCTGCTACATGGGATGCAATTAAAAACACAAGTTGAACAAATAATTAACCATAATTAGTATCACAGCAGTACTTTAAATCTTAGGCATTATATAATATAGTGAACACGATTTTAAAAATTGAGGTACTTGATGACCAAAAATGTCTTTTCCTTTTTATATTCTCAAAACACATAATGGTGGTAGATAAGCCATAGGGAATAAAGAAAGGTAGAATGCAGTTGGAAGAGCTATCTGCCATTAAATAGGGACTTGTGTACCATTTGGTGAGGTGTCAGTCACTGTACCAGGTGTTTTTCTACTCTAGGCTAATTACACTCTTTCTGAATGCTTGTACTTAAAATTTTACTCACACTTATAAAAGACAATCCATGGAATGGACAAACATATTTTCTAGTACCATATATTCAAATGGCAACAGACTTATAATCAAATATATATGGAATTCTTACATCTACATAGTAAAAAGACATATAACTCAATTAAAAAGAAAGGATTTGGAAAGACATGTCTCCAAAGAAGACATACAAATGATGATAATCACGTGAAAAGACATTGACCATATTTACCCATCAGAGCAACATAAATCACAACTATGATTAGACACCACTTATAGCTAGTAGAATGGCTACCCTCAAAATGATACAAAGTAACACGTGCCGAGGGAGCAAGCATTCAGCTTGCACCACTGGAGTGCCTGGATTCAAAACCTGCTCCAGCTCTGGACTCCAGGTTCCTGCCAATGAAGGCTTTGTGAGGCAGCAGTGATAGCTCAAGAAATGGGTTCCTGTCACTGATATGAAAGATCCAAACTGAGTTCCCATTTTCCAGCTTTGGCTTGCTCAGCCCTGGCCACTGTGGGCATTTGGGGAATGAAGTAGTGAAGGGGAGCCTTCCCCACCCCATCCCATCTCTCCCTCTCAAATAAATTTCAAAAATAAATAAATAAATATATAAAAATAAGTTACAAGTGTTGGCCAGTAATTGTAACACTTATAGAGTGCTTGTAGAAATGTAAAATGGAGCCACTTTGTGAAAGCTTGGTAATTCTTCAAGTTGTTAAATATAGAACTACCATATGACTCACTCTTACATTTATATAAGTCAAAAGAATTGAAAAGAAGTGTCAACACAAAAAATTGTACACTAATGTTCATAGCATTCCGTATGGTAGCCAAAAAGTGGAAACCACCCAAATGTCTATCACATGATCAGCAACTAAAATGTGGTTCTATGCACACAATGGAATATTATGCATTAATGAAAAGTAATGAATTACTAATGCAAGTTACAACATGGAAGATATAGTCACAAAAGTGCATATTGTATGATGCCATTTATAATGAAATGTCCAGAATAGATAAATTCATAGAGACAGAAATAATTTAGTAGTTATATAGGGCTGAGGGAGTTAGGGAGGGTAGGTAATGGCTGCTAATGGCTAAGCAGTTTTGTTGGATGATAAAATGTTCTAAAATTCAATTGTGGATATGATTACACATTGTATGAATTTTATAGTATGTGAACTATATCTCTCTTTTTTTTGAAGATTTATTTATTTGAAAGTCAGAGTCACACAGAGGGAGAAGGAGAGAGAGAGAGAGAGAGGAGAGTCTTCCATCCGCTGGTTCATTCCCCAAATGGCCACATGATTGGAGGTGCGCTGATCCGAAGCCAGGAGCCAGGAACTTCTTCTGGGTCTCACACACACCTTCTACTGCTTTCCCAGGCCATAGCAGAGAGCTGGATTGGAAGAAGAGAGGCCGGGACTAGAACCAGTGCCCATATGGAATGCCGGCACTGCAGGTGGTGGCTCGACCCGCTATGCCACAGTGCCGACCCCGTGAATTATATCTCAATGAAGATTTTCGAAAACGCAATAATGGCAAAATAATTATATTAATAGTATGGTAGCTCTTTATATGAGAAGTAAAAATTTTTGCTTATTAAATAAAGGAAGGGGATAACTGAAAATATTCAGTGACAGGATTGGTGTGGTGAGGGGCAAGACGATCTGTAGGTTCAAATAAATGTGAATGTCTCAATCTGTTTTACTGGAACTCTTCAAAAGAAAAGAAATACATAGAAAAAGATGAAATCAGAGCCAGCCTTTCTGTATTTTCAACAATACTTGTGAATCTTCCTTTTTCCTTTGATTTAGTGAATAGAGTATGTGCAATGAAAACTGATTCAACAAAATTTTCCATATTTAGGCTTTCCTAAGCAAGTAATTAGTCATCTTTGTTTCAAAAGTCCTCCTCTCCCAGACTCCCAAAGAAACATTTAATAATACAATCAACAACCAATTGCCATTGCTTGGTGAATGAGAACTTTCCTAAAGGTTAAATATTCTTATGGTTAAATCAACTCTACGAAGTGAAATTAACAAAATAGCAGGTCTGATATACAAACACAAATATGCCAAATGTAATATAACAGGTAGCAAGGGTTAAACTTTCCAGGTTAACACTGTGAAACTTATTTATAAAACTTACCTTAAAGCTTGAATTTTGTTTTTCTCTTGGCTGACAAAATGGAAGATTTCGATTTAGGACGATTTAACCCAAACTTGTACTCTAAATACACACACACACACACACACACACACTTGTAGCTCAATTATTTATTTTATTTATTTGTGTGTGTGAGAGAGAGAGAGTGAGAGAGAGAGAGAGAGAGAGAGAGAGAATCTTCCGCTTGCTGGCTCACTCCCCAAATGCCTGTAGGATTTGAGGTAGGGCTGGGCCAAAGGCAGGAGCCAGGAACTCAGTCCAGGTCTCTCATATGAGTGGCAGGGACCCAAGTACTTACGTCATCACCTGCTGCCTCCCAGGATCTGTATCAGCAGGAAGCTGGAATCAGGAGCTGGGACCTGAACCCAAGCACTCTGATATGAGATGCAGGCGTTCCAAGCAGCATCTTAAATTGTTACACCAAATGCCCACCCCTAATTTTAAGACAGTGTATAATAGATATGAATATGTCAAAAATGCATCTGTTTTTGAAGAACACCTGTTTTTGGAAGTGTTAATTCATTTGTTTCTAAAATAAAAGTAAAAACATTCATATAGAATATTGCAAGTGTCATGCATAGCATTTAACAAAGCTCAACAGAAAATAGTGGCTAATTTATAAAATATTTTTCAGTACCCTGTTTCCTGCATAATTCTCTGTTGTGTATTTCTGTAAACAAAACAATGGAATAGCTGGACTCTAGCTTGTATTGCAAAATTCAGAGTCCTAAAAGGAAAACTAAAGAATTGCATTCAAATTGTTTTCTTTGAGTTATTTTCTATTTCTTCCTGCCCAACCCTCTAAAATAAGACAGTACTCATCTAAAATTACAATGTAGTATGTCATTTAGAAACTCCAGAAACACATCAATTATGTTTCTAAAAGTACTGAGTTTATTTTAAAGCATAGCATCAAGTTAGAATTTCAGTAAACAAAGCCATTTCTTCATTACATGTTGATTTTTGCAAAGAGTACAGACTTGCATACAACAGATATGATAAAATAGTTTAAATGGTGTTTGCTTTTAGTACTAAATAGTACAGAATTAAAGCACAATATGTGTATCTTCTGGATAAGTGATACAGGCCATGATTCTTGTGTCTTTTAAAAAGTCTTCTAAATTAAAATCTTGTGATTCTCTCTGCTTAGATTAATGTACTCACACACCATATGCCTAAACACAGACAAAAAGGTCAGATAACTGAGAAATAGTGGCATTCATGATTATAAGTTGTATTAAATGAGGAAAACCACTAAGATGTTTTTCAGCAGAAAAAAAAAAAAAAAAAAAAAAAAACAAGAAAAGCCAGTCATGGGTAATGAGCTCCAATTTATTTTTAATGCTTAAGTAAAAGTCTGAGCTCTTTGCAAGAGGATGCCATTTTAAACTTACTTGTCATCCCACTTCCATGATATACATATGCATATTTCACTGAGACAATCAATTTAGAAACATGACTCCATCATAGCTGTGTAGTTAAACAGGGAACTTGTCAACTAAATGCATCCATTGCTTTTTCTGTGAGAAGTCATCTACTTTAAATCACTGAAGTGTGCAATGAAAGGCAACATTTAGAAGCCTGGAAAATGTATGGTTCAGTATGTCAGAAGGTTCATCTACAAAAGAATGGGAGTGTTATTGGGAGTGTTATAATCACATTGCAGGAAACTGCAGTGTTTAACATACCATGAACATTACCTGTAAATACTTTGTAATCACAATATCAGCACATTAAAAAGGTACATATTCTTGTTCACTAAAATTAATGAGGTAATTTGGGAACAAGAGACAGATACTTTGGGTCTGTTGCTCTCATTTTAAAATTTCTCGGTGTTGAGCTGCAGATACCCTTAAGCTGCAATAATAACACCAAAAGGGGGAAGGATGTTTTCTTTATAAAATCACTGAAGTACATAAAATTGACTTGGCAGATAACAATACAGTTCCATGATATTTACTTAAAAATTTATGTTCATCTCCCTTTCTCCTCCATCATAATGTTCACATTTTAATTATGTATTCACTTTGCTTGTTTGCATGCAAAAACACCAACTAATCTATTATTGCAACATTAAGCCTATTTCTTTTGAAGCCAGGATAATTTTGCTGTTGTATAAAAGCAGTAGAGACTCATTTTTCAGGATGCTTAAGGCAGAATGCTTAAGGTTCATGCTTCCTGCTTTGCCTGCGCTTCTGCTTCCTGAAATGAAAAACAAACAAAACAGAGAAGTTTAAATATCACAAAACAGACACCATGTGTTTTGGTTAGACTACAATAGCTCAAATTACTAAGAATATTCAAAAGCAGAGTACTTACCCCCAAAAAAGATAGCTTAAAAATTCTTAATAGAAAACCTATAAAATAAAAACTGCTGCTAGAAATAATATAGTAAATGATTGCCTAGTCATTACTCATGGTTTGAAATAATTCCAAAAGCAAGTGATATAAAGTTTATAATATTTTATACAGTTTATGATATTTCATTTAAAAACAGTTATTTTCCTGTTTTGTAAATTTTCATGGAAACTCAACATTCAAAAATATTATTGCCCAATGTTTACAGTTTGTTGAGTTTTTGTTTCATGAGAGTATGCATGAAAAGCAATCAAGTTACCTTCTCTTTCACCTGGGTCCCGAGCACCTCCAGCCTAGGAAGTCTGACTGATATATGTGCCTGGAGCCCAACATAGTACTTGACACAAAACAAACTTCAAAGTTTGTTAAACTAAAGATCAGTGGCCAGAGTGACTTTGGCCAAACAAATGTCAGATGTAAATCGTAGAAATTAAGTATGCCAGACTATGTCACTCTAAACACCTGTCACTAAACAAAGACTTGACAGTCTTAGGAAGAGCCAGAAGAAGCTGCGTTTTCTAAAATGAGCTTCTGATATTGATCCAAAAGAAGTGAGGAAAGGCCGGTGCCTTGGCTCACTAGGCTAATCCTCCGCCTGTGGCGCCGGCACACCCGGTTCTAGTCCCGGTGGGGGTGCCGGTTCTGTCCCGGTTGCCCCTATTCCAGGCCAGCTCTCTGCTGTGGCCCGGGAGTGCAGTGGAGGATGGCCCAAGTGCTTGGGCCCTGCACCCCATGGGAGACCAGGAGAAGTACCTGGCTCCTGGCTTCGGATCAGCACGGTACGCCGGCCGCAGTGGCCATTGGGGGGTGAACCAACGGAAAAAAGGAAGACCTTTCTCTCTGTCTCTCTCTCTCTCACTGTCCACTCTGCCTCTCAAAAAAAAAAAAACTGAGGAAAAACAAAAATAAATGCTAGAGTGTTTTTTTAAGGCATAAATGAAGGAAAGAAGAAAATGAGAAAGGACACTCTACTTCGCTAAGACACACTTAGAAAATAGATTAAATATACTACTGAGTTACTTTCTGAAACATCTTGTCAACAAAAAAAGGGAGGGAGAGAGGAAAAAAATCCCTAGGCTCTTTTGAGGCTTCTAACATAGTGTTTGGCTGTCAAAATGAATGTCTTAGATCTACATTATACATCTTGTTTCATTTTATAGAACAAGTTTTCAAAAATGTCCTTACATAACACAAATTTTACACTAAGACTCCTCAAAGGTCTAGTATATATAGTTGGGGAAGCAGTTGTATAGTAATGTATATGATATAACATGTAGTCTTTCATCCTATAACCAGTTAACACTTCTAAGTAACCTGTATTTTGAAAGCAGCTTAATTCCCTGAAGTCACACCCTATCCATTTTGCTATGATTTGTCAAAAATCTTAGTGGCATTTTCTACTTTGCAGTAGAGGTGATGATATTGAGATATGAAATAAAATAATCGATATTTTAACAAAAAATTAAAATCTAGGGGTGGACTTCTGGCTTAGTAGTTAAGACACTACTTCTTGTGCATCCTGGGAACACATGATGGCTCAAGCAGTTGGATCCCTGCCACCCAGATGAGAGCTCTCATTACCCTTTTTGATGAAAGAAATTACTAATACAGGCATTTAAATGAAAGGCAATTCAAAATTCTTTGCAGTTTGTCTTTAGAATATATCATATTCAAAGTACACTACTCTCTTTTCTAACTATGTTTTATTCATAAAATATGAAAGTTGAGCTGAAGGTCTTATTATCCAAAGTAAGTGGTTGATATTTACAGAATTATGAGTCATCTAATCAAGCAGAGAGCTTTAGAAATAAGCATATGAGGCATTTTCCACCTCACTGCCCCAACCTCAATGTAAACATCATTCCAAAAATGCACTGGTTTTGACCCAGAGCATCCTGAGTACAAATTCCAGCTCTGCTACTCAATTATTATGTATCCCTGGACAAATTCCTTAAATTACCTGCACATCAGTTCTCTCCTCCATAGAGTGGCATTAAGGACACAGCTTACAGGGATGATGTAAAGATAAAGTGAGATGTACATGAGGTCCCTAGCTCAGTGCTTGGCCCATTGCAGCCATCCATTTTGCTTTCTTCCTTTCCCCTCGTCCTCTTTTTTTTTTTGCCTTGTAACTGAAACCAAGCCCACAGCTAAATGTTATTAACATACTCATCCTGTCTCTCTTGGAGATGCAATAACAACAGAATGAATTCAGTGAAAATAGGATTACTTAACATCTCACAGCAGAGGTGGACTCCATGATCCCTCTCTGGAGCAGGGTGATTCAACTGCAGGTAATGATATTTTCCTAACCAGCATCCTCTATTTCCTCACTATATTACTGAACATGTCTTTTTCAGAGGGGTCATTTTCCTTTCAGCATGGACATCACTAGAATTTTATTAATTTGTTGTTTTTGTCTGAAAGCCAGAGAGAGAGAGAGGATGCTCCCACCCACTCATCCACTCCTCAAATGCTCTTAACAGCTGGGCTGGGTCATGCTGAAGTTGGGAACTACATGTGGAACTCTCATCTGGGTGGCAGGGATCCAACTGCTTGAGCCATCATGTGTTCCCAGGATGCACAAGAAGTAGTGTCTTAACTACTAAGCCAGAAGTCCACCCCTAGATTTTAATTTTTTGTTAAAATATCGATTATTTTATTTCATATCTCAATATCATCACCTCTACTGCAAAGTAGAAAATGCCACTAAGAAACATCATTTTGGGAAAGTGTTGTGGTGCAGCTGGTTAAGCTGCCCCCGGCATCCCATATAGAGGCTGATTCAAGTCCTGGCTACTATTCTTGTGATCCCACTCCATGCTAAATGTGCCTGGGAAAGCAGCAGAGGAGCACCTAAGAACTTGAGCCTCTGTACTCGTGTGGGAGACCCGAATGGAGTTCTGGCTCCTGGCTTTGATCTGGCCTAGCCATGGACATTGCAGCCATTTAGGGAGTGAACCAAGATATGGAGTCTCTCTCCCTCTCTCTCCCTCTCTCTCTCTCTCTCTGTAACTATGCCTTTTAAATAAATAAACAAACTTCAAAAAAAGGAAATGCTATTTTGTATTGATAAAATAAGCAATCATAAATATTTATGTGCTTCTCTTTAAATGCATCAAATCTACAAAAGGAAATGGAATTTATCTTCTACAGAAGAATTCTTTGCTTTATGGAAATATTCACCATAAATATTTATCTCCACAGTACATAGGTTTTCTTTTTTTTTAAGATTTATTTATTTATTTGAAAGTCAGAGTTACACAGAGAGAGAAGGAGAGACAGAAAGAAAGAGGTCTTCCATCCTCTGGTTCACTCCTCAATTGTTCCCAACAGCCAAAGCTGTACCCATCTGAAGCCAGGAGCCAGGAGCCTCCTCCAGGTCTCCCGTACAGCTGCAGGAGCCCAAGCACTTGGACCATCTTCTACTGCTTTCCCAGGCCACAGCAGAGAGCTGGACCAGAAGTGGAGCAGCTGGGACTCGAACTGGCACCCACATGGGATGCCAACACTGCAGGCGGCAGCTTTACCTGATACACCACAGCTCCAGCACCCCTAGGTTTTCTTTTTTTTTTATTTGACAGAGAGAGTTAGACAGTGAGAGAGAGAGAGACAGAGAGAAAGGTCTTCCTTCCGTTGGTTCACCCCCCAAATGGCCACCACGGCCAGCGGACTGCAATGATCCAAAGCCAGGAGCCAGGCGCTTCTTCCTGATCTCCCATGTGGGTGCAGGGCCCAAGCACTTGGGCTATCCTCCACTGCCCTCCCGGGCCACAGCAGAGAGCTGGACTGGAAGAGGAGCAACCAGGACTAGAACCTGGCGCCCATATGGGATGCCAGTGCTGCAGGTGGGGGATTAACCAAGTGAGCCATGGCGCTGGCCCTTCCCATAGGTTTTCAATAATTTTAAATGTAAAGAACATGCATGCTATCTTTAGTTTCTCAGTCTACCTTGCAGTAATACTTCATGTATGGAGTAAGACCTTTATAGGAGTATACATCTATCCTATCTTTTGTTTTATTATTGTTTTGAATTTTATTACTAAAGATGTAATAATCTTTATGATTTTATATTTTTATTTAAATAGTAGAATACAGTAATTAGTAAATGACAAAAAATATTTTCTATTTCCCACATATTTGCTATTTCTGGAAGCCTTTATTCCTTCTGTAGGTCCACATTTTCATCTAGTATCAACCACAAGATACAAATTCTTTTCAAGTGCACACAGCACACCCAACAACGCATACCAGCTAAAATAAAAAAAAGGAAAAAAAAACAACAAAAGAAATCCCTGTGTATATCAGTATTGCTGCAAATTAGCTGTGTTAAACATTGTTGTATACTTTTGTCAAAATAATGGTAAAGAATGTTATACTACTATAGTTTTTTTATTTTTTTAACTTTTATTTAATGAATATAAATTTCTAAAGTACAGCTTATGGATTACAATGGCTTCCCCCCCATAACGTCCCTCCCACCTGCAACCCTCCCCTTTCCCACTCCCTCTCCCCTTCCATTCACATCAAGATTCATTTTCAATTCTCTTTATATACAGAAGATCAGTTTAGCATATATTAAGTAAAGATTTCAACAGTTTGCACCCACATAGAAACACAAAGTGAAAAATACTGTTTGAGTACTAGTTATAGCATTAAATCACCATGTACAGCACATTAAGGACAGAGATCCTACATGAGGAGTAAGTGCACAGTGACTCCTGTTGTTGACTTAACAAATTGACACTCTTGTTTATGGCATCAGTAATTACCCTAAGCTCTTGTCATGAGTTGCCAAGGCTATGGAAGCCTTTTGAGTTCACCAACTCTGATCATATTTAGAC